CATCGCCTCCTTTTTGCTGTTTCTGCCAGAGCGCCAACTACGAGATGGGGCTTTCATTCATTCACCACAAACTTTTGTCTCACGCGCTTGAGCTTCTCTCATCGAGACATCCGTGTTTGGCTGAGCTGGGGCGGTGTTTGGTGGGCCCGACATTGGTTCCTTAGGTGCAGTGGTGGCCGGCGTTCCACGATCGGCTTTGGTTGGGCATGTTGCCTCTAGGTGGCCATATCATCCACATGTGTAGCAAATGGTGGGGAGACCTTCATACTCGACAAACTGGGTCGCACTGTCAAGCCTAATCATTGAGATCAGCGGCTTGGTAAGGTCGAGCGTAACTGCTAGCCTGGCGAACCTAGCTTTAGCTAGTCCTTTGGTATTATAATCAATTTTTAACACTTCACCGATGACACTTTTGTTGTCATTCAATCATAAGATAAGGCAACCTTAAAAATTAACAAGTTCAATTTAATAAGTTTTTATTAATTATCAATAACAAATTTTTGCAATCAAGTTGCGCTCTTCAAAAACATATATTATTATTTAATCACAAGATAGGAATAGAAATTAACAAGTCCAATAATAGCGATCCACAAGCTGCCATTAGATATAGCCGGTAGTTGGTAGAAGTGGCTTAGGAGTTTACTTTTTTAAAAACAAAAAAACAAAAGGACAAAGTGGTAAAACCCAACATTCTAAAATCTCATTTTGGTCCAAAAGCCTAATTAGGGATTTGTTGAATTTAAAGGCCTGGTTTTGAATTTGGGTATTTTAGCTGCCTTTAAAATGGACTTTCTCATCAATGTTCGAATCATTCACAGGCCAAAAAAAAATTATGGTTGCAACAAAAAAAAAATATATCTTTATATTGTAAAATGGTCTTGATAAACCTGGCGTTATTTTATCTTAATTATAAAGACTTTCTTTGTGAACATATACTTTAATATGATATATTACTTCTATTATACTTTAAAGGAATCTAAAAATACATGTTAAATATTTTTTAAAAGAATTATGTGCTAATCTATTCATCAATACACTAAAATCCTAATTCATCTATGTAGATTTATCCTCTCAATTTGTCTCATTTCTAAATTTTAATTTAGCCCTCAATCAATATAACAATTCATATTTTTCTTCTTTCTTTCTTTCTGTTTTCCGTGAAACAAAGGGGACCTATGTCCCATAGGAAAACAAATCAACTAACATGTTAAAAAGAAATTGAAACAAGTTGAAGTAATTGTAGATTGAGAAGATCCAAATTTATAATCCACCTTCCCATGGAACAAGCTATAATTTTTATCTTCATGACCTCGCCGCTTCTTAGTCTTCTCGAAATCGCTCATAAAATGATTAACACGCACACACACATTTGTAAGCAATTCAGAAAAATATCAGTTACTTGTTCAAAAAGAAAAGTCATAATATAAAGGATTCCTTTTCTCATTCTCATTTGCTTCCCAATAAAAATAGATAAAAGGGGAGCCCACCATATCAACTTTTTTTTTTGGGTCAAAAAGTCAATTTTATTAATAACCAAAAATAAGGATACAAACACCAATAGCTGAAGCCAACAAAGAAAAAAACACTCAAAAAGACCTAAGATACAACCTAACACACCAAAAAACACAAAAAAGCTGCAACAAGACTAACAAAAAGAACAGAACCTTAACCAATACCTGTTCTAACCTCCACCACAGGCTCCACTGAAACCAAGTCCTTCCTCAGCAACTCGATCAAAGAGGTTGGTGGTTTTGACAACCATACTTGCAGTACCAATCCTCCTATAGTTTGAGCTGCTAGCCAATCAGCAGCATAATTCCCTTTCCTAGCCACAAGAGAAACTTCCACATCCTTCAACTGAGAAGTTTTCAACAAACTGATACACTTCATAACCACATCCTCACAAAACCACTCACAGCCTTTTAACTCCTCCCTTTTCACTTTATAGAATAAATCCTGGCAATCTGTTTCAATTATCAGTCTACCTCCCCACCACAATTCTCTATTTTCCAGAGCTTCAAGCAATCCTAGACTTTCTGCCATAAAAGTAAAATTGGCCTCCACCATCTTCCCTACTCCCCCCATAAACCTTCCCACCCAATCCCTGCCAATCATGCCAATAGCAGCCTTCCTTGTTCTTGCACAGCAGGCAGTATTAGTGTTTACTTTGACTGCTCCCCTCACTAGTTTATTCCATTTCAATTGTCAATCCAAACACTGTCCTGATGCTGTTAGACATTTCTTCATCCCTACTATATCCCATTGGTCCCTGACCAACCTCAAAGCTCCTGTAACACAAGAATAAGCATCAACATCATATATGTTCAAACATGTATTTACATCTAGCTTTCCAGATTCCCCGACAGATGCTACTGAAAATAGCTCTTTCATACTCCTGATCTTTTTTCCTACTTTTAAACCAGTCCTCTAACCATCTGTCAGTTTTGAAATTCCCCAAAAATTCAAACTTCAGGGTCAAAGGCGAGCCAAACCAGCATTACACTACCCAAGGACAAAGAAAAAGAGCATGCTCAATAGTTTCCACATTTGCCTTACAGATTTCACACTTTGGCTCCATAGCACACTTCTTCTTGAAGAGAGAGTCCTTAGTTGCTAGAGCTCCATTTACTGCCCTCCAAAGAAAGTATTGAACTTTAGGAGGCATCTTAATCTGCCAAATTCCATTCCATAGAATTTTTGAAGGAGTATAAGAGCCACTTGGATCAGAGTTCTTCTTAATCTCAGCCTACTTCAAAGCCACCTTATAACCCCATTTCATAGCGTAAGAACCATATTTACTGTTTTTCCCGATAATCTTATCCGTAGTCCCATTTGCTGGTATTCTGGTTTTACTGATGTCATTTCTGTCCTCAGCCATAAACCATATATCAGATCCCTTACACATAGATTTCTTTATTTCTTCAGATAAATTTCTGCTTTTCAACTTTCCCTCAAGTGATCCATGTAACCAACTATCAGTGAAAACTTTAATACATTCACCATTCCCCAACTTCCAACTAAGATCCTTACACAGCAGCTCTTTTCCTTCTAATATACTTGTCCATCCCTAGGATGCTCTACTTCCTTTTCTGGCTTGCAAGAAATCAGTCTTAGCAAAATACAATCCCTTTAAGATTCTACACCAGAGATCATTGGGGTTTTGAATGATATGCCAAGCAATCTCGGCCAATAAAGCCTTGTTAAAACCTTCCAAGCTTCTAAACCCCATTCCTCCTTCACTCTTCATCTTGCTCATAACCTTCCAAGCTTTCCAGTGAATTCTACCCTCTTGTTCCCCTCTGAACCCACCAAAAATTAGAGATCATACTGTCTAATTCACTACAAGTCTTCTTTGGAAACATGAAGCATGTCATAGGGTAGATTGAGATAGCATTAGCTACAGCCTTTATGAGTACTTCCCTTCCTACAAAACTTAAGAGCTTTTGTTTCCAACCCTGTAACTTCTTTCCCATTTTACATTTCACAAAAGATAGAGCTTCCACCTTCGATTTGCCCCAAATCACAGGGAGTTCGAGATACTTGCCTGGGTCCTCTCAGTCCCTAATCCCCAACTCCTCATATACTTCCAATTTCACTGCCTCGCAAATGTTTTTTGAGAAAAAGACACAGAATTTTTCCAAATTAATTGCTTGACCAGAAGCTTTGCACTAGCTATCTAGAATCTTTTTCAACATTCTACAATTTGCTTCTTCGCATTAATAAAGAAAAGAGCATTATCAGCAAAGAAGCAGTATGAGAGTATTGGACAACTGCTAGCTAACTTGATACCCTTCAAATCACCCTTCTCCACATGTTTATGAATCATTAGAGATAGAACATCAGCTGCCAATATAAACAAATAGGGTGATAAGGGGTCACCTTGTCTAATTCCTCTTCCCTCTAATGCCAGCCACCCTTTTCCCCGAAACTACCAAGTTTAAGCTAGCAAAAGTCACACACTGCATAATCCATCCAATGCACTTTTCATCAAATCCTATCCTTCTCATTACTTCTTTAATAAAACACCACTCCAACTTGTCATAGGCTTTCTTCATATCAATTTTTACTGCCATTTTGAACTTCTTTCCCTTATTCTTATTCTTCAAATAGTAAAAAGCTTCATGGGCAATTATTAGATTATCTTGTATAAGACAGCCAGCAACAAAAGCTCTCTGATTTTCTGTTGTCATTTTTATCAGAATTATTTTCAATCTGTTGGACAGAATCTTTGAGATTATTTTGTAAGCAAATTTACAAAGCCCAATTGGTCTAAATTGTCCTACACTTTTAGCATTATCAACTTTTGGTATTAAAACCACATTGGTCTTATTCAATGGATTTAGGCTGGCTTTATTTGTAAAGAAGTCCTGCACCATATCTACTACTGCTTGGTTCACTTCACCCCATGCTACATGAAAGAATAGCCTTGAGTATCAGGTCCAGGTACCTTGGACCCATTTAACTGGAAGGCTGCCTCCTTAATTTCTTCCACCATAACTTGCCTTGTCAGAATTATATTTTCTTCATCAATCACTTTCTTTTGCACAAATTGCAAAGCTTCCTCCATATCCCTTGTAGCTTCTGAAGCAAACAACTCAGAATAAAACTAAGAAAAAGCTAAGTTTATCTCCTCTTCTTTTTCTATCCATTCTCCATCTTCTTTTTTTAATCTCACCACTTTATTTTTGGCTCTTCTCTGCAAAGTATTGGTGTGAAAAAATTTCATGTTTCTATCTCCTGATTGCAACCAGTTGATTCAAGACCACTGTCACAGAACTTCACTTCCCTATCCTAGGCCTGTTCTATCATCTTGATAGTTTCTTCAGCTTCTACCTTACTAGCTTTAGTCAAAACACACCTCTGGTAAGCCTCCAACTTTTCAGTCAGGATTTTCATCGTTTTTCTGGCATTAAGAAAGACCTCCCTTCCCTATTTACTAAGCACAAGCTTGAGATTATCCAATCTGTGCACTACTTCCTCCACCTTTGTGCTCCATCTCTCTACCTCCATTCCCATCCTTTTCTAACCACTTCTGGAAATTTTTCATGTTCTGCCTGTATCACCTCAAATCTGAAAGTCTTAGGGACCAAACTAGATCTATAATCATAATCCACAATGAGTAGGTGATGATCAGATCCAACAAGGTCTACTATGGTAACCAAGGCATTCTGGAAATCTTCTCTAAATTCACAATTAGCTACTGCTCTATCTAGCCTCTCCTTTACATCTTCATCCCCAAGTCTCCTGTTATTCCATGTGAATTTAGAGCCTTGGTAACCCAGATCCATCAGCTCGCAATCTGCCAACATATACTCGAAGTTCAGAACTCTTCTGACATTAATAGGCAATTTTCCCAATTTCTCTGTCACTGCTTTGACATCATTGAAGTCTCCCAAGCATAGCCAACTATTACTCATGTTCACTGTAAAGTCCCTCATTTTGTTCCATATCAACATTTTCTTTTCATCCGTTGGTACACCATAAACAAAGGTTATGTAATCTGGCATTTTAATCACTTCTAACCTTGCAGATACATGAATGAGGTTTTTTGAGTTGAACCAGATATTCATCTCCACTTCCCTTGTCTACCACAATGCCAATCCACCTCCCGTCCCCCTTAGTTCTACATAAAATTCTTCCTCTATACCACACTGCCTCTTTTTTTTTTTTTTACCTTTCACCATTTCTTCTCGTTTCCATGAGGAAAATCTCTTAGGGTTGTAACTTCAAACTCTCCTTCCTCAGCTTTTTAACTATCACAGTCCTTCCAAGACCTTGACAGTTCCAAGATAGTCGCTTCATGGCTCCTTGGTGGCTGTTTGAGGCCAGCTACCAAGACCTTCAACTAATGTATCCTAAGCCCAATCACCAGACCATTCAGCTTTCTCCTTAATTGTTACCCTTCTCTGCAGTCTTGAGTTCACATTCTCCCTACCCCCTCTTCTTATTAACTTTCGAACAGCTCTGACACTTCTTCTCCCCATATTATCCATATTTTCCATCCTTTGCTTTCCATCTATCTCAGTCAACTCCTTAAAGAATAATTCCTCCTTTTAACCATCTGGTTCTCATTAGTTTCTTCAAAAGCTCTTTTCAGCTTCACCTTATTCAGTCCAATAGTTACTTCTGACTTAAGTGAGTTAGAGCCATAGACCACTATTGCCTTAGATAGATCCACTTTCTCCTCCTGTGTTCTCTTCATTTTCTCCTTCTTATTTGGAATATCATATGAGGCCACTTCATTGACTTCTCTCTCATACTTCGAATCTCTTCCCATCATAGGTTCACCTTGTATCCCCCCTCCCTTTCTGCTTTCTTCTTGATCTATCTCCTTTTCCTTACCTCCAACAAGATTGTTTGAGACAGCTTTCGGTAACTTATTACTTGTTGATGTTGTATCAGAATCACCTTTATTATTCTCCTCATTCTTTCCTCCACCATCTTGTAACAGCTTCTTTCTTTCATTAGCCTTGTTTTTTCCTCTTTAGAGACCTCATATTCCTCCCATTCTCCAGTATAATTAATTAATTCTTCCTGGAGGTCTTGATTCCCGGTGTGCTAAGCCATCCACCAAATTTCCTTTCTATATTTTCAACTTCCAAATCTTCAGTAGGACACATTCTCATGTCATGTCTAATTTTATGTATATAAGAAAAATCGGTGGAAAATCTCTATCTAAAAATTTTATTAGTCAAAGTTTTACTTTCTATGTATCAAAAACATATCAGGTCCTTCTATGTATGAGAATTTTATCAACCAAAAAGACTTGAATTAAAAGTAGTATTTCCTTAAGTTTACATTCATTTTGCCAAGTCGTGGGCATGTTAAGAGTCGTTAGGGAAGTGGCTGCTGAAAAGACGAAGTGGCTGTTAAAATGTAATTTCATTTATTTTGTACTGGTTAGATCACTACAAAAAACATCAAATTAGCGACAAAATTTAGTGATGGAATTTTCATCACTAATCAAAATTAGTGATGGATTAGCCACGTAAGTTTTTCTGTCACTAATTCCACCGTCACTAAATAATTAGTGACGGGATTTTGAATTAGCGACGGATTAGGAACAAAAATTAGTAACAAAAATTTTTCTTCACTAATCCGTCGCTAACTAGTGATGGATATCTTAGAGAAATTCTGTCACAAAACAGTGATGGATTTGTGAAGAAAAATTTCGTCACAAATTAGTGATGGAAGTTTCCATCACTAAATTCTTTTATTTTGTAAATTTAAAATACCACATGGCAACTATTGATTTTCATCATGTGTCATGTTTGTAACTGCCACCTCATCACTAGTTGCCACCTCACATTCTCCTCTCTCTCTCTCTCTCTCTCTCTCTCGCATTGCTATGTCATCCCCTCATCCACATCATCGCCATGTGTCTATCACTATGAGCCGCCACATCATCAATGTCTGCTAACTCCTCTCTCTCCCATGTTGCCACATCATCTCTACATCCATGTCATCACCACATGTCTATGATTGTTGTAAAATTCCTTCTCTAAAACATTAAGAAACTAGTCATAAAACTACTACTATGGGAGAAAAGGAAAACTGTTACAACAAACTACCATAATAGAAAGGGATTTGCATAAGTTTAGGAACGGACATTCAAACCTAGGGGTCGAAACCCAAATAAAACTGTTGCATGCAACCAAAACATTCCTTTCAATCTATTGGGCCGGTGAGCCTCCAGCCCGGGTAACAAAAGATATCAGACATAAGCCCATCCAATTATTTTTCAACAACATAAACCAAAGTGTCATAAAACATAAGAAATGGCCTCCGGGCAACCAAATGTGGAGATAAACTTCCTCTAGTTTACAATAATGTCATGTAATCAAAAAATTTCCAAAAGGACCCTATATGCGGCAATACACAACCAACCATACATATACACAGGCTAGAGGCATTTTAGCTAACCAAGCTCAAGCCTCCGCGTCCCTCCCCAACGATATACGCCTAAAACCTTCACTTGAAAACATTACAAACCACAGGGTGAGTCACAGTAGCAAACTTCCAATTCAAGGTACAAACTAAATAGAGCCGAACCTGGCCTATCCCTCACTATGGGGGACGTAAAGAGCCAAAAAGCATATCCCTCACTATGGGGGACATAAATAGCCAACCATCATGCATTAATGGAGGCCTTACCACGTGGTAGTAACAAGCATGTCTCTCACCAATTCCCAATACATGCATCATGCTCAAACATCTTTACCGAAAAGTAAAAACATATTTCACAAGTAGTTTCAATCAGTGGCATATCTTTCAAAGACTCCTAATACACTTAGTATTATATCAAACCCCACAAGACAACTTCTCTTTCCATATATAAAATACACTTAGAACACCATTGATTACTTAGAGCATGAAAACATAAATCTACTCATAGTACCATAACAGCATGTACCAAGGATTGGAAAGTAGTTACCTCTCACCTGAGCAAGAAATAACACAACACCAATGATGCCCAGTGCACCAACAAAATCTCACCACAGGTCTACATAAGCACACAAACGCACAACCACCATGTATTAGTTAACAAACTAATAAAATGGTCAATACAACACTTGGGGACTCAAAATTCCTAGTCTCAACCAAAACTCTATCCAACTCACAAGGGCCAAACCATCATAGCAACACTCCAAAAACCACAAGAGACCATTATCACTTCAGTTCCCCTTCCAAACATCAATTGAATTCAAAATCTCCAAGAGCCACTCTTGGAATTCAATACCCAAACATCCAATTAGAACAAATGAAGTCTTAACAACATTTCTAAACTGATTAAACATCTAATTTAACCCTCCTTAACATAACCCAATTCACAAAACTCAATTTCAACTACTATATTATCATCCTCAATCATAAACCTCTATTTTCACAAACCACGAATTCCCAAAACTTTAAAATCTCCAAATCCAAGAAAACTACACCGATTAAATATTAGACTAACCTATAGCAATCATTTAAACTCAAAACAATCGGTCAAAAACTTTAATTCCATCATAAACTAGAAAGCCTTAGGGTTCCTCTACAAAATCCTCAAAAATCCCAAGAGAAAGAGTTAATTAGAGGTTAGATTCACTTATTTGAGGCAATAGACCCTTAGAAACACCTTCTCCAAGCTAAAACACTGAAACCCTAGCGGAGTACTCCTTCCCTCCTTCAGATTTTCTATTTTTCATATATCAGACCCTTCCTCCGGATTTAAAGATGCGAACATTTTGTCGTGACGAACCCAAGCCTTTGTCACGACTAACTAAACCTGAGAGGAATTTCCTAATCCAGAAACCCAAATTTGTCCCAGCTAAAACCCATTTGGTTGCGGCGATAAATTTTTCCTGAGAAGAACTCTTGCTCACTACAAGAAAATGTTAAAGTAGCAGCGGAACCTTTCTAGCGGTTCAACTAAACCGCTAGAAATTCCAGACATTTCTAGCGGTTTTCATAAAAACCGCTGCAAAATACAGACGGTTTGACCATTGCCCGCACATTTCTAGCGGTTACCACCTAACCGCTAGAAATTTAAAGCTAGAAAATTCCCCGGGTTTTGGCGGGAACTTGGCGCCAAATTTGTAGCGTTTATTTTCTAGCGGTTTAGGCCAATAAACCGCTAGACACTGAAAATTTCTAGCGGTTGATGCATGAACCGCTAGAAATATTTTTCATTCCCGAGGAGTTTAGAAATTTCTAGCGGTTTTGGACCGAACCGCTAGAAATTTCTGGCAATTCCCCGAGGCCCTTGTGACCGTTGGGAATTTCTAGCGGTTTGGTCCAAAACTGCTAGAAATTTCTAGCGGTTCTGTGGTAAACTGCTAGAAATTCTCGGTCTATATAAACCCCCCCTCAACTCTCACTTCTTCAATCGTTCTGGAAGCGAAGCTCTGCTGAATTTTCTCCACAAACATATTCGAGTTCTGATTCAGTTGCAGATCCTTATTTTCAGGTAAAAATAGTAATTTATTGATAAATAATTTTTATTTTATGTTTTATTTTATTTATTTTATTATGTTGTAGCTTATAAATAATTTTTCTTTTTATTTTATTTATAAATAATTACTATTTGTTGTTATTAGGATGACTCGTCGACACGGGAAAGACCCAGTTGATCCTGAGAGAGCTGGACCAGTGAGGTTCATCATGATGCTGGTGAGCCATTCCCCAGCATTCATGACTACGATCTCAGCGAGGAGGATATCCTCAATTTTATGGAGCAGGATGATGTTGAGCGGACTGAGGAGGCTCATTTTACTGGGGATGAGCAACCCCATGCTGATGCTGATGCTGCTGACGAGGAGGAGGAGCAGGAGCAGGATCAGGGGAATGAGTATCCCCAGGCTGCGCAGCGTCCTGCTCCGAGACGTCAGGCTGGTTATAAGGTGGAATTTGTCGGTAAGTATTTATTTAACTTTTTAAAGTTTTTATCAGTATTTAATTTATATAGAAATTGTATTAATTTATTGATATATAATTTATTTCCTAATTAAATTTTGCAGACACTGAGGGGAACAGGTCCTATCGGAGGCTGACAGCCAGAGAGCTGTCTATAATGACGAGCGGACGA